AAAAAAAAAAAAAAAAGAAAGAGTGTATCTTGCTGTGTTGCCCAGACAGACTCAAATGCTCAACTGACCATTCTGCCTCAGCCTCCAGAGTAGCTGTGACTACAGGCATGCACCACTACCCCATCTTTTTCTTTTCCATACAGAGTCTTACTTTGTTGGCTCAAGTGATCCTCTTGCCTCAGCCTCCAAGTAGCTGGGACTATAGGCACCTGCCACAATGCCGGGTTAATTTTTCTATCTTTAGTAGAGAGGGGGTCTTGCTCTTGCTCATGCCAAACTCCTGAGCTCAAGCAGGCTTCCTACCTCGGCCTTCTAAGAGTGGTAAGATTACAGCCATGAGCCACCATGTCCTGCCCTTAATGTTCTTAACAATTATATAGCAATCTATTTGTGGTCCTACCACATTGTTTCCTACTGAAACATTTAGGTTATTTCCATCTTTTCACTTTTATCAACTATAATGTATTAACACTGCACATATATCCTTGCATACTTACGTGAGTATATCCACAGTTTTTTTTTTTTTTCAGAGTCTCACTTTGATGCTCTAGGTAGAGTGCCATGATGTTGTAGGTCACAGCAACCTCAAACTCTTGGGCTCAAGCAATCCTTTGCCTTAGCCTCCCAAGTAGCTGGGACTAAAGGCACCCACCACAATGATTGGCTGTTTTTTTTTTAGAGACAGGGCCTCACTCTTGCTCAGGTTGGTCTCAAACCCATGAGCTCAAGCAATCCACCTGCCTTAGCCTCCCAGAGTGCTAGGATTACAGCCACCGCCCCGGGCCCATAGGATAAATTTCTAGCAATAGAATTTCTAGATATGTGCAGTATACATTTCTTTTGTTTGTTTGCAGTTTTTGGCTGGGGCCGGGTTTGAACCCACCACCTCTGGTATATGGGGCCGGTGCCCTACTCCTTTGAGCCACAGGCACCACCCTTGTTTGTTTTTTTGAGACAGAGTCTTATTATATTGTCCTCAGTAGTGTTATGGCATCACAGTTCACAGCAACCTTAAACTTTTGGGCTTAAGTGATTCCCTTGCCTCAGCCTCCCAAGTAGCTGGGACTATAGGTGCCTGCCACAATGCCCAACTATTTTTTAGAGAAGGGGTCTCACCCTTGCTAGGGTTGGTCTCAAATTCATGAGCTCAGGCAACCCACCAGCTTTGGCCTCCCAAGTACAGGGATTACAGGCTTGTAATTGTAAGGGGATACCCAGCCCTTAGCTATTGAAGATTTTTTTTTTTTTTTTTGAGACAGAGCCTCAAGCTATCCCCCTGGGGAGAGTGCTGTGGCATTGCAGCTCACAGCAACCTCCAACACCTGGGCTCAAGCGAGTCTCCTGCCTCAGCCTCCCAAGTATCTGGGACCACAGGCGCCCGCCACAACGCCTGGCTATTTTTTTTTGGTTGCAGCCATCATTGTTGCTTGGCGGGCCCGGGCTGGATTCGAACCCGCCACCTTAGGTGTATGTGGCTGGCGCCTTAGCCATTTGAGCCACAGGTGCCGAGCTGCTATTGAAGATTTTTAAGTTAACCACGTAAATAGAGATTCTGTGTATCCTTTGGTCACAGGGGCCATTTTGTGCCACCAAAGTTATTTGGGACAGGTGCCACTTGGCCATGTAGCCAGTCTCTTTGTAGTTAAGAGTCCCTATATTAGTTTCCTGTTACTGCTATAACAAATCACCATAAACTTGGTGGTTTAAAACAATACACATTTATTCTTAAGTTTTTTTTGTTTTTGTCACCCTTAGTAGAGTGCCGTGGCATCATAGCTCACAGCAACCTCAAATTCTTGGGCTTAAGCGATACTCTTGCTTCAGCCTCCCTAGTAGCTAGTCGGGACTACAGGCACCCACCACAATGCCTATTTTGTTGCTGTTGTTTAGCAGGCCCAGGCCAGTTTGAACCCACTAGCCCTGAAGCATGTGGCCAGTGCCCTAACCACCGAGCAATGGGTGCCCAGCCTCTCTTACAGTTCTGAAAGTCAGAAATCTAAAATAAAGGTGTTGGTAAGGTTGAATTCCTTCTGGAGGCTCCCAGGGAGAACATATTTCCTTGCCTTTTTTAAGTTCTGGAAACTACCTGCATTTCTTAGTTTGCAGCCCTTCCTCACATTGCTCCAAGCTCTGCTTCAGTTATTACATCTACTGTGTGTCAAATCTCTCCCTCTGCCTGCCTCCCTCTCATAAAGATATGATTATATTAGTGTCCATTCTGATTATCCAAGTTAATTCCCGTCTCAAGATCCTTAATGCTTAATTACATCTGCAAAGTTCCTTTTACTATCTACAGTAACATTCACAGGTTCCAGAGATTAGGATGTGGACATGTTAGGGTACTATTGGCCTACCACAGCCCCACACACATTTCTTTGCACTGCATTGGTGAAAGGTGGTAGGAGAACCCAGCAGGGTCACAAGGTTTCAAAGTGTTCCTAAATTAAGATCTAAAGAGAAGTGGGTAAATCAGCTCTGTAACCACTGGGATCACTCTGAGACCATCATAAACTGGCCTCCTTTCAATTGGCTCCATATCTCTCCCTCCCGACATTGTTTCCTTTAAAACACTGTAGCACTGAAGCTGAACTTTTTAAATTCCTCATCCTAAAAAATTATTAGAGGCTATAAAATGGATGTTTTCTACAAGATGAAATGTTTTTCTCATAAGCCTTTGGTCTAACAACCATAGCTGTGATCTGTGGCATGCTTACAGAGTATAGTAACACCCTATTTTTGTCTAACATTCTATATTCCACAAAATACTTTCACATCCTTTAGCTTATTTGGAGACAGGAAAAGGATGGTGGTGTTATGTATATTTCAATTGCACAGATGAGTAAACTGTGGCTGCAAGGCAGAGAATGGATTGGAGGGTAGATGACTTAACACAGCCCTTCCTGACAGACACCTTCCACATTTTGCCAAAAGTTTCTGCCAGGTTTTAAGGCTGCCTGATTATGTTAAATAGTTAAGGAGAGTGATCCTGATTCTCAATATAAAACTCTTTCAATATTTCTTTCCTCGTCTTCCTGCTCTCCCATCTCTCTGCCTTCAGAATCTTAATCTGTTCTTTTCTTTCCCCTCTTCTGTCAGTGATTCAGGGATTGGAAGAGTCTCTGTAGTTTGTTTTGTCCTAAAGAGCAGAAGGCTTCGGTCCCAACTAGTGTTGCCAAAGCAACATACTAATTCCATGCCATGGTCCTGGGTCAAGATCTGCACAATCTGATTGGCCATATCACCTCGGATGGCAAGGGAATGGAAGTGGTCGAAATCATGGAGTCCCAGCTTTCGGAGACGCCTTGCAGCTGCCCGGTAACACTTCCAAGGCTGGGGCTCCACAAGGAGATAGCGGCATAGGGAGGAAAGATGGGCCAGGAACTCCCACAGGCCATGATCCCCATGGTTTAGATGAATCCACATGGTCACTGACATGCAGAAACCAATGTCAAAAACTGAACGTCCAAATTGGCTTAAGAAAGAGTTCAAAAGAACTTTGCGGGTCCTTTGATTCATGAAGTCCAGGGTGATAAAGGTCAAGGCATCAGGAAAAGGACATTCTTTTTCAGCTCGCTCCACCAAGACTGGATCTATGTCACAGCAGAGGAGACGGAGTTCTCTTGAGGCATCTAAGCAGGTCTCCCCATCATGTAGGGAAAGGAAGTGTTTGTATAGAGCCACACTCAGATCCTAGAGGAATCCAAAAGAGCTTTGTCATTGTAGCTCTCAACCAGTGAATTGGAAGAGAAGTCTGTGTCTCTTATCCTCCCACTGAGAATGCCACTTACCCCTGGCTTTAAAGGATGTGAGGCCCCTAAACCATAACCTAAGGAGATTGTGCAAAAATTTTCCATAGAGCAGGCTCTCAGTGCCTTTCAGGGGTCCCAGGCTATAAGACATCATCCCTACATTTTCCTTACACTGACAGTAGATTAGATCATATAGTTCAAAGTTATAGTTAAATGGATATAGCAAAGGATTCTAGAGCAGTATTTTCCAGTGATATGCTGGTAAACTATCTTTTTCTAGGTATCTCAGACCTTAGGGAAGAAGGGGTCCAAAGCCATAACTAGTGTCCTTTACAAGGAAGGTGAGGAATAGAGCAAGCACCATCTTATAGAAACCTGCTTATCACACCTGTGATTGGAATTGTGAGAGGAAAGTATTTATTTATGCCTTTTGTGCAGGCGAAGAAAATGCACAATGGAAAACACTCCCAATAGTAGTAGCACAGACAAATAAATCTGGTACGGTCATTAAGATAGAATATTAAATAGCAGTTAAAAATAAAAGAACTCAGTTCAGTGCAACACAGATGATTCTCACAGATACATAATGTGGAGTTAATTAAAAAGCAAGCCACAAAATAAAATATATGATGAGCTTCCACCTATAAGAAATTAAAAAATGGGTAAAATTAGACTACATTGTTTAGAGAAGATAAGCAGTACAATTAAAGAAAACCAAGGAAATGATTATAATAAAAGTAAGGTCTTTTGTTACTTTGGGTGGATATCGGGTATGTTTATGAATAGGAAAGGCATATGGAGGACTTCTGGGGTGCTGATGTTTTATTCTTGACCTGAACAGTGGTCATAAAGGTGTTTGCTTTATCATAATTCATAAAATATGTTTGTATTTTATGTACTTTTCTGTATGTGTGGCATAGTTCACAATGACTTACTTGTCCAATGTCTCATGGTTAGTACATGGCAAGTCTTAGGCTGTATTAGGTACTTTCCTCTATATTGGGCTTCTCAAACCTTATTTTATTTTATTTTGAGACAGAGCCTCAAGCTATCCCCCTGGGTAGAGTGCCGTGGCTTCACAGCTCACAGCAACCTCCAACTCCTGGGCTCAAGCAAGTCTCCTGCCTCTGCCTCCCAAGTAGCTGGGACCACAGGCGCCCACCACAATGCCCCGCTATTTTTTGGTTGCAGCCGTCATTGTTGTTTGGCAGGTCTGGGCTGGATTCGAACCTGCCACCTTAGGTGTATGTGGCTGGCGCCTTAGCCACTTGAGCCACAGGCGCCAAGCCTATTTTATTTTTTTTTGAGACAGATTCTCACTGTGTCACCCTTGGTAGTTTTGTGGTGTCATAATTCACAACAACCTCAAACTCTTGGGCTCCAGCGATCCTCTTGCCTCCATTTTTAGTAGAGATGAGGGTCTCATTCTTGCTCAGAGCTAGTCTTGAATTCCTGAGCTGAAGACCCGCCTCAGCCTCCCAGAGTGAACCACCTCACTCGGCCTTCTGGGCTTCTCAAAATTTAATGGGCAATCACTTAGGGATCTTTTTATACTAAAGATGCCGATTTAGGAGATTTGGGTTGATGACTAAGATTCTGTATTTCTAATTAGCTGGTAAATCATGTCAGTGCTGTAACTGAAGCAAGCCCTTGACCCTGCTGCTTCTCCCTGCCTTTGTATTTACTTCTTCACTATCTTGCTTCTCTTGTCTGATCTTGGGTGTAGTCCCATGTCATAGCTGTCCCTTCTTTAGCACATCTCTTCACTTTCTCCATCTTCATTTCCCCAATCCTATAGTCTCCTGGGAGCTTAAAAAATATATAGACTCAAGGGCTTGATTCCCTGAAATCCTCATTCAGTAGATCTAGAGTGAGGGCCTGAAAGTTTTTAAAGTTGAAAAAAGCACCCATAAATTATGGCACATCTATACAGTCAAACACTGTATTATGAAGCTGTTAAAAAAATGTGGCAACATAAATAATTTCCAAGATGATCTCCAAGTTATTAAATGAAAAGCAAGGTGCAAAATAGTGTAATATTATTTGTAAAACTAAAAGAGGGCTGATATTTATACATACAAAAATACTGGTAGACAGACAGGACAGATACCCAAGAAATTACAAATGGTGGGGCTACTGCACGATGGAAAAGGATTTAGGGTTGGGAGTAGAGTTACTTTTTATTATGTGACCCCTCCCTCCGTTGAGACACAGTCTTACCGTGTTATCCCGGCTAGAGTGCCATGGGCATCTACCTAGCTCACAGCAACCTCCACTCCTAGGTTCAAGTGGTCCTCCTGCCCTCAACCTTCCAAGTAGCTGGGACTACAGGCCTCCACCACAACGCTTGGCACATTTTTCTGTTTTGAGTAGAGACAGGGTGTTGCTCTTGCTCAGGCTGGTCTGGAACTTCTGAGCTCGAGGGATCCTCCCACCTCAGCCTCCCAGAGGGCTAGGTATGAGCCAATATGCCTACCCCTCTCCATACTTTTAATATTTTTTTTGATTTATCAAGTACAAGCATTTTTAAAAATATACAAAATGGCAAGTTCTCACACAGCCAGGTTTGGGAACCACCAACCATGTCTTTGCCAGTAATATGTATACGTATTACTTTCAATTTTAAAATCTCTGGTGGTTTCCTAATGCCCTTCATGAAATTCTAAGCCTTAAACCCAGTCTTTCTTTTTTTAATGCTTTTATCCTCTGATTTTCTATATCATCACAGTGAAGAGTATTTGCAGGGGATACCCGGACATCCACCCATCTACTCATTCTAGTCTTTAAGACTGTATCCAAATGTTACCCTCCCACTTAGCTGTGTCCCTCAAGGTCTTCCAATGTCTACTAAAGGCTTTTCTACCACTATAAAATTCTCCACACTCCCTCCAGCTCCTGGTCTGGAATGATTGTAATGGTAAAGTTAGCCTGCCTGCTCCCCTAAGCTATCCCAGTGGCTAGAAATAGGTGTGAGGGAGATGTTTGCTTATTTTCCGTGTGATTTGATTGTAATCATAGGTGCAATAATACTTTGTGGTAAGAAGAGTGGCAATCCCTCCCTTCTCCACTCCCTCTGGTAGAATGCTGTCCTCTCCACTATACTCTATCAACTCACTGGTTTAAAAATACGCAACTAACTCCAGAGTCGGTCTTGCAGAAGTCTTAATTCTAGGCACGATTCTGTCACCCCTAGATCCTCTCTCTCTAGTTCCAACTCCAAGTTCCCAAAAGTCTCTGGAAGTCCCCTCTCCCCAGCAAGGTCGCCAGGAACTTTGCATAGGAGCCATTCCTGATACAGTGATCCTCCCTACCTGGGGTCTGGCCCAGACGAAGGCTGAGAAGGGACGCAAGGATTCGGAACTTAGTTGAGAAGGATTCCTCCCCAAGATTCCTAGGAGAGATGGTGGTGGGACCCTGGCGGACAGGTAGCAGCAGCACAGGATCAGCCAACACCATGCTTTATGCTCATTTGGGGAAAGTTTTGGTGGGTGGGAACCTCAGCCCAGGCCACAACCAGCGTGGACGCGGAAGTAGCCGACCGTCAGGCTCCCGGTGCTGCGATCCCTCCCCTCTCACTCACCCCGGAGTTACACCCAACGTCGAGCCCCAGGATCGGCCTCGTCTCGGGACTCTGAGGAGGGAAGAGCCGTCGAAGCAGCTCCGGGGGCAGGAGGCGGAGCCGTTGCTCTGGAGGATGGAAGCGAGAATAATGAGGGAAATTTCCGAAGGGGGCAGCCCCAGGTTCCAAAACTCGCGGGTCCTCTTCCGCCGCGGCCTCCTTAACTACCCCTTCCGCGGGTCTCATGGACGCCGCCATTAGCCTCTTGGCTCCGCCTTTGGGTCCCTGCGGAACCGGAAGCTGGGAACCAGCGGCTGGCGGGCGACACAGGGCCAGCGCGCATGCGCCGAACGACGTGGGCAGATGGACGGGTGGGAGTCGCGATGGACGGGAAAGGTTGGCTTTTTCTTAGAGCTGTGTGTGCCTGGCACCCACCGGACGCTCGGGCCTTGCGATTGTTTTGCTCTTTTCTCACAACACCAGAAGGGGATTCGTAAATCATCGACATTTTTTAGAGGGAGGAAATAAGCGTCGAAAAGTTAGTGAAGCTGACATAGTTTGAAACTTGGGCCACTTGTCCCAGAACAAGTAGTTTGTTGGGATCTTGGAAGTCAGTTTTGGTCCAACTTCCCTTTTTACAAATGTAGAAAATGAGACCAAGAGAAGAGAAATTATTTGTCTGGGATTACACAGTGAATCCATGACATAAGAACTTGCATGCGGTTCAGGAAAGGGTGCAAAAATTTACAAAGAGGCGACTGACTCATAAAGAATATTTTCTAAATAAAGATACACTTAGCAACAATTTCCCATTTTCCCTATGTATGGCGACTTTAGGGGTGACTTTTGGCACACTCTATTAATGAGGACTTGTCCACGGTTACACAGTTAGAAATGATGGTACTAGGATTCAGACCTAGGCAGTTTGGCTTCAGAGGGTGTGCCTACAGCATTATGTTATTCTCAGCTTTGAGTCCTTTCTGCTTATCATAATGCATTCCACAAAGATGCTCAACAAGTATTTGTTGAATGAAAACTCAACAGAAGATGGAAGTAGGCACATAAAGCTAGATCTGTTTGGGGAAAATTAAGATAGAAGAGAGAAAGGAGGTTAAATGACACACGTTGTGGAATAGAGCGAAGTAAGTTATGGGCTGAGCCAGAGACTGGGAAAAAACAGCTGGGCCATGTGGCAGTGGCTCCAGCCTATAGTCCCAGCTACTTGGGAGGCCGGGAAAGAGAGAGAATAGCTTGAGGTCAGGAGTTGAAGGCTGTAGTGCACAGTGATTGCTCCTGAAAAGAGTCATGGCGTTCCAGCCTGGTCAACAAAGACCCTGTCTCAAAAAAAAAAAAAGCTGGTAAGGAGAGAATTTGAGGAGTCAGACTAGGCACCAGGGGTCAGCAAAGTTGCGATGAACTCTCTGCACCTGGCCAGCCTACCAGGTGGCTGCAGGAGGCCAGCAATTTAGTAAATTTATAAGAGATGAAAACATGACTCCTGCAACAGTACCATCAGGGGTTAAAATAAGCTCTGTTTTCCTACAGGTTTTATTTCATTCTTTCATCTCTGCCTGGCCTGCTGTTTGAATATTTTCTTATAAGATTTGGGGACATAAGTTAATAACCAAAAGTCACAGTGGAATTGAGTAAACCACAGTACTCAGCACACCTTCCAGAAAAGAGCGAAAGCGAAGTATCACCTTATTTTCCCCAATTTTTGAATGATTTTGGTGAGCTGAACTTGCCCATTTTTGCCACTAGATGACGGTAGCACAAATAATAGACAACCTTAATTTCCAAGGAGCTGGAATCACCTTGCTTTTGCAAACGGCTTTTTGTTTGTATAAACCCGGTATATACGCATTAAGAATAGAGTATGGGGCGGTGCCAGTGGCTCAGTGAATAGGACACCGGCCCCATATACCGAGGGTGGCGGGTTCAAACCTGGCCCCGGCCAAACTGCAACAAAAAAATAGCCGGGCATTGTGGTGGGCGCCTGTAGTCCCAGCTACACTGGAGGCTGAGAATCGCCTAAGCCCAAGAGTTAAAGGTTGCTGTGAGCTGTGACACTACAGTACTCTACTGTGGGCGATAAAGTGAGATTCTGTCTTTTTTTTTTTTTTAGACAGAGCCTCAA